CCCCCCCCCAAAAAAAAAGCAGAATAGCACGTTGTTCTTTGAGGGTACACTTGAGGGTAGCGCCCCTGATGAATGGAGATATAAAGTCACAGGTTGCTGTCACCTAACGACACCTTTAGAAACCACCAACTACATTTTTCCTGCCATCCCATAACTATTTGTGACTTACTTATTGACTTCCCCTAGTATTTAATTTGATCTACTTTGAAAGCAAAAAATTCACTATTTTCATTATAGTTAATATTTTATTGCAGTTGCAGCTCCAGAGAGCAAAGATATTTGGTCAGCAGCAGAAGTGCCAGAAGGATCAGAGTATGACTCCTTGTATGACCCCAGACCACAACCAGAGTGAGTAGTTTTGAATCTACTTTAAGTGTGATCATATATATCATGGTATATTTTATTATGGATCTCTGTGAAGTATCAGTTCTTGTACAACCAGAGTGAGTATTTTTAAATCTGCTTCAAGTGCAAATTCTCCATGTCTTCAGCTGTAGTGGACATATAGGGCTAGACTTATATTTTATAGACCAGTCAGCATTTGGTGGGTGATGTGGTCAGCATTATGCCGGCCACTTTACTTACCAGGGCTTTACCTTGTACCCATGTAAGGCTGGGTCAACCTGGTAGTCAAGGTCATTTAAAAAAAAAGTATGGAATCCGTTGGGACCTACCACTTTAAGAGTGGCGGCATTTATCATAGTATATTTTTTTATACAGATCAATAATAATCTGATTCCTTTCAGATCTGCTTGACCACTTACCTGGGAAACAATATTCACATGGGAAGAAGAAATAAGCAATTCTAGACTACAACAAATGACAGACTTAGAAGATATAAATTTAGAAATTTAAAAAATGAAGATGGAGGTGTATTGGACACATCCTCAAAATGAAGAAAGAGAGCCGGCCGAGACAGGCAATGCAATGGACACCACAAGGACAGCAAGGAAGAGGGCAGGCCAAGAAGCACTTGGAGGCAAAACTTTTGAGGCTGAACTCAAGGCTACGCGAAGGACAGAACTGGGGTTAGAGAGGTTGGCTCAGGATCCAACTGAGTGGCAATAGTTTGTCTCTGCCTTATGTACCTCTGGGTGTGATGAGGATTGATTGATTGATAGACCATAACCATCTCATTCAAGTGTGATGAAAAACATGTCATAGCATAGTTTATTATTGTTTCTCCCTCCCTTTTAAAGTACTAATAGCTTGTATGTGATTGATTGATAGACCATAACCATCTCATTCAAGTGTGATGAAAAACATGTCATAGCATAGTTTATTATTGTTTCTCCCTCCCTTGTAAAGTACTAATAGCTTGTATGAGCTCAGACTACAAGGAGAGTGTGTAGTTCTACATCGACTTTTAGTGTAGAGATATGTATGGGAGCCACAGTGGCCTAGCAGCTGGACACTCACTTGCAGATCAGGAGGTTGTGGGTTCAGGTCCTGACGATACTGGACGTACAAAAATGACCTGAAGTCCAGGTTGACCCAGCCTTGAATGAGTACCAGGTGAGTTCCTTGGAAGTAAAGGTGGCTGGCGTGATGCTGACCACATCAGACACCAAGTGCCCATTAAATATAGGTCTATATATATATATATATATATATATATTTATATGATGTTTTATGGTGAATTCTCCCATGGATAGTAGCAGAAGCACAGTATGGCCCGCAGCTAGAACTGACAGTGTTTGTTATTTTAATGTAAGGACATATTCATGGTATCTTGTATTTTGGATACTCTGATGTAAAATACATGATGGTTTAGGTTTAGATGATCTATCAACATCATGGCACAAGGCTAGTAACCTATAAGTGCACCTTTCTACTTCTAACTCAAGTCTGAAGAATCTCAGCTCAGTGCACGAACTCGGTAGCACCGGCGAGGATCCAGAACTACTGTGTGTAGATTTTTTAACTCCAAATTTTGCCTGGCAGCGCCATTAGGCTACTTTTTTAAATTTCTGACACGGCTTTCGATCTTACTACCAAGAAACCAAAGCAAGTTACTAGAAGTCCACGTGAAAAAATCCTAGCTTTCAACGGGGACTGAACCCAGGACCTCCAGCACTCGAGGCGGACACCATGCAAGAAAACCAGTTTTCAGACTTACCACCTCAAAATATATCCTCGTAATACATTTAAAAGAGGAGCGGCTGGCCAAACGGTTAAAATGCGGGGCTCTCAAGCAGGATACCCAGGTTTGAAACCTTTGTAAGGCTGAGGATTTTTTTCTGTTGAGGTAAAAATAAATTCCTCACCTGCACAGTCGTGGTGACAGCATTAGCCATGGGCCTTAAATCCTCAGGCTCAAGACTTCTCCCTGTCTACACTGCAAAAGTGTGAAAATAAAGGCAGTAACTGACAGTTTTGTGGAATTGAAAAAAAAAATGAAAAAAAAGAACTGGAACCTTTCCTCGCCATTGTCATATCAGGCATATGATACTAGACTCACATTTTTATAGACCAATCAGCATTCAGTGGGTGGTGTGGCCAGAATCGTGTTAGCTGCCTTTACTTTCGATGACTTTACCTGGTACACATTTTAGGATGGGTTGACCTGCGATCCAATGTCATGTTTAAACAAACACATCTTTCTCTATGTCGATTTGCACCTAAGACCTTCTGGCCAACAGATAAGCGTCTAGCCACTGTACCAATGTAGCTCCCATATACCTTTAAATTAAACAAAATTAGAAGACAAGAAAAAAGAACACACACTTTTAAATCATAAACCCTTCAGTATTATTGTTTTACTGCTTTTACTGTAAAGTATTCTGATTTACAGGTATGACATTGTGTACAGTCAAGCAGTAAGAAGCGAAGATGTCTTTCTCCAAATGGGGAACAAAACCCCAATGACGTCAAGCTGTGAAAATATAATAGTGAGTTGACATCTTAAATTCAGTTTATAAAAATCATAGAATGATGCAAGTTGCAAGGATGCTGCAGAATATTTAATTGGTTATAAAATTGTTGGATTCAACTTGCTAGTTTCAGTCATTTGTTTTTTTAATTTCCTGCATTTGTCCAGTATTTTTTAGGTGTGGAACATAAGTATAAAGTATCTGTTTACTTTAGAGCTGTAATACTTATCTTTTGACTGTCTGCTCTAACGTTTTCTTAGCCTGTATCTCCAGATGCAGGCATTATATATTACAGGCTGAATACTTTTATATTTTTAATGCTGAAAATATTTTATATTATTACTTTTCAAATCATTCAGATGTTCACTTTGCCAACTATTATATAAAAGAGCATGAGGCTGGAGAGAGAGAGAGAAAGAGACTGAGTTTCTTTCAGGCAGACCACGATGAGAGCAACGTTCTACAAAGGACCTACTACATGATGAGGATAATGATTTAACTATGAGGTTATTTAATTTAACATTATGGCCGTCTCCACACTAGAAGTTGGCTATGGAGCATTCACTGCTGTCCTAGAGAATATAACAGCTGAAGCCCTAATCTCATTCTCTAAGCGATCTAGAACAGATGTACGTGAACCTTGAGAACCGTTTTTTCCTAACCGCCCAGAGTGAACCCTGGTGTGTTGAGGAATGGATTGTGAAAATTGAAAATGAGCATACTCACTTTAAAAAAAACTGACTGGAATTATTTAAAATTTTGCTTTGTTTCATTGATCCATTCTAGAGCAGGTTTAATTCTTTTGAAATACTGTTTAATATTCCCTTGTAGTTATCGCTTTATATTTTTAACATGTTTTTCTATTGTCATAATCTTAATGCAGTGGGTAATATAATTCCCTTAGTTGTGTCCTTCAGAGTTCATATTTCTTGCACTTTAGTAAATAATGGTAAAAATTTTTCTTCTGCCATTCAGCTTCTCTCTTTCTCTTCCTTTTTTTGTTCCCCCATCTCTGGCAATAATTTGATTGTTAACCCTTTTGCCCAGAGAAACCGAAAAACCGACACTTCCAATTGGATTCAATTCCCTGTAAATTGCCACTTGTCCAGCTTTTCTGTAGTGACCTGTTTAAAAGACATATAGTTAATGCTATTAGCTGTTTTTGCATCTGTGTAAATGTTTTGGAGGTCAGGACATAAATTTGTTAACTAACAATAACACTGGGTAGAAGTTGCGGGTGGGTGGGTGGAGGGTCCTTTAAGCTAAATGCTTTTTTTTAAAAAAGTTAAGTTGTTACCAGTGTTTCCCATAAGCTTCATGGATAGAGGTCATGGGATCACTTCATTGGTCACCCGAAAATTTTTTAAGCCCCAGGAAATGTATACCAGTTAATGCTTCACCCAGTTCCTTTCAGATATCTTTTTATTTTTCGAAAAAATTTTTGATTTAGATAAATACATTTTAAATGAGATAAATACATTTTAAACTAATTTCTTAGTGACCTGTGTACAAAAAATTATTTGTAAGGATTTTTTTCTTGAATCTAATGGGGTCATGACTTATTTCTTTAGTGTTCCTGGGACAGAATTGTTAAAATAAACCATTCCAAGTTGTAGACTCAGTAATTTCTTTTTAGGTTCTTCAAATGTTTTTCGTCTCAAACACACCGTGATTAGCCTTTTATTTATGATTCGTGACCTTTTTCACACAAGCTAGTCTGGTACAGGGAAGTCACGTTGTGTTCTCTTTGATGCTATCACTGGCGATATCCTGTGTTCTATATTACATGATGTGACCGCTTTTAGCGACCCCACAACATCTAGAACTGACCTAGCCCCCACCCCCCTACCCCACAGCCTCAGCATTCATCCCACGAGATAGTGCAGGCTACGTTCCATGGTTTCAGAATTGTCAACATTTTACAGCAGGCCCTAAAAACCGTCTTGCTGCAGACAAGCAACCCTGCTCTCCTTGTCGCTCCTCAACGCTCACAGCTAAAGTAAACTCATGTCCTACTTGAAGTCCCACAAAGCTATAATATACACAATCTTGCCAGCCGCTCACACCAACCAGTACATGATGTGCAATATACACAGCTCAAAAGACCAAGCACAATGCAACATCACAACCCTCTATCTTGGACTAGAGCGTGTAAAAGGTCATGAAGTATGGCCAATCTCAGTGTGGGGTGGAAAATGTTACTAGAACCTCTTTTTATTGTAAGGAGTATTAAGTTCATGCATTATTTGACATGTTCTAATTACATTAATTTCTTCTTCTCTTCCACCTTATACCTCAGCGAAGTGTCGGTGGCACAGCATTTAACAATAGACAATATATGTATGCATGATGTCTGTTTGAGCTTTTATTCCACACAAATGTTGATTCTTCTTTTTATTCTGGTTTAATTGCCTGTTTTTTTATCTTCTCTACTAAAGTCTACATGAATTTTGTCTCTGACTTTCTTTGGGTCTTTTGTCCATAGCAGATACAGCTATTGAGGTGTGAAGTGTTTTACCTTTACCTATTTTATATCCAATGGGATGGTCAGTTCCCTTCCTCATTGTCTCTCTCTCTCTCTCTCTCTCTCTCTCTCTCTCTCTCTCTCTCTCTCTCTCTCTCTCTCTCTCTCTCTCTCTCTCTCTCTCTCTCTCTCTCTCACACGCACGCACACACACAGAGAGATTCCTGCCATTTGTGGTGAAATGTCAAATGTTTATATTTTCTTTAGAGTATATGCTCCCCCCCCCACCCCCCCCCCCCCCCCCCCCCCCCCTTCACACGTCTGACATGCATGGCACATTTCAACATGCACAGATTTTGTTTAATTCATAAATAATTATCTTGTATTAGATAAAAATAAAACTGCCAGAAACAAAGGTAGCAGAAGTTGAACTGGACATCAAGCCAAAGTTCCTTGATTGTAGAACACCCAATTTGTAAGTTCTTTTTAGTGTATGTTTTAACCAGATTTGTAAGTTCTTTTTCAGTGTATGTTTTAACTAGACATTTAAGTACAGTCCATGGTGATAGCACTAGCTCTGCAGCTCTAAATCCTTCGGCTCATTATCCGCCCCCCCCCTTTCTACACCACCCTAAACAAGTAGTAAAACAGACATTAGTGACATTTTTTGTGTTTTTCTAGTTATAACCAAATTTGTAAGGTTATTTTTTACTGTATGTTGTAATTAGATTCCAAAGTTCTTTTGTGCAGTTTTAACTAGGGTTGTCAGATGCTCTGTTTTCCCTGGATTCCTCCATTTTCTTTCCCCCAGTTAAGGTCTGCCATGGACTCCATTATTTGTAACAGTCATATTGAAGAAAAAAAAACCAAAAAACCAGTAAATCTATATTAGAATTGCAAAACGAAGGGTGACGTTTTTTGTTGTTATTGTTTATAAATGATATTACAGAGCTGACCCTTTAAATTTGTTCTGCTGATCCAGCGTCAGTTTGGAACAACTGACCTACAAAATCTACTCTCATCACATGCTCTATCTTGTGTCAAGATCAGTTGTCCTCTATGGCTCTGAAACCTGGAGTAGAAATAAAGGAGATGAAGCCTTATTACACATTTCTGAGGACAGTCTTACATCAAACATTTTGGACATATGCTGCAGGGAAAAATAAATAGGGAGAAGCAGCAACAAAATCTGTTTGAATCAACACTAATTACTGGCATCATGAGTGGTTGAGGTATAGAGAAAGAAGGGTAGATAACAGAGAGACGAAAATTGTGAGCACAAAAGAGTTGAATCGGAGTAGACCTTGAGGCAGACAAAGAAGATGATGGAGAGATAATATACAGGCAGATCTGAAGCAATTACCATTGCCAACTGGAAAGAAAAGGTAAATCACAGAGATGAATGGAGGTGACAAATATCTGCAGCAGTGAACCTCAAGGGCTTAGAATACTGAAGAAGCTACAGCTCCAGGGTTAACCCATCTCACAAAAATCAGTACCAGATAATTCTCAGATTTTCCTGTGAAAGAAAGGCAGTGAGAATTGTAACTGACCACAACAAACCTTGCACATTATGGCTTAGAATATTTGGTGACCTAACATTTCCTGCTGCTTTTCGATTGCGTTTGCTCCCTAGTGGGTTCTAGGGCCCCATTTTCTACCCCCCCCCCCCCCCCCCCCCTGCGCCCCCAACTGCCCAACTTCCTGACATGCATGGTGTAAAAGTTGACTAATTAGGAGTGCTTCCTTTGAAGTCCGAGTGCATCTGCCAGAGAGGCACGGTACCAGCAGTCTGCTTACAAATAAGCAAGATTTGTAAAATGGCTGTGCATGCAAAACTCAGATTTTAGAAAAATATATACCTGTATTATGAAGTCCAGAAGTCAATTAACAACCAGAATTTTCTGCCAGAGTTTACAGCCAGTTATTGTAAAGAAGAAGAAAAATGTGTCGTGACCTAACATTTTACAATGCTTTTTGATTGCCTTTACCTTAAACTTAATAACGTTCAAATTTGTGTTATTGTTCTTCCACAGTAAATTAGGTTTACACCTACCCCATCCTGTTGATGAGAAAAGTGGAAAAGCTCAGTGGGATGCCAAACAAGAGACGTTAATTGTGACATTGAATTTGTGTAGAGAATATGATATATTTAACTTCTAGTGTTGAAGATTTTGTATGATGCATAATACAGTGATGACAGATTTAAGATTAAGATGTTCAGCATGTAAATAAAAATACAAGAGAGACCACTCAAACTGCTTTTTAAAATTAATTTGTTCATTATCAAGCAGCGCAGTGTGTATTTGTTTGTGATGGCTGACATGACACACTTTCTTAACTGCTTGTATCCTGTTCTTTTTCTTGTGCTTGCCCTTACAAGAATGAGAGGTTGACCCCCCCCCCCCCCCCCCCCCCCCCCCCCCAACAGGGACTTGGAACTCATATGGGGACAACTCCATGTGTCCTATTTAATTGTTACACTTTTCTGCCAGCTTCAGTTGTTATTTCAACCCCCTTCTGTCTTATGAGATTGCTACTTAAATGCCTGCAGGTTCACATCTGTGTGAATTAATGTAATGATTTCTTAGGGTATCAGTTCAAGTTATACCACTCTTGGGACTGAAATAGTTGAATGAACAGTTTTAGCTCTATCCAAATTACCTCCCTGCTGTGTGTTTCTTGTCTGCAGATTTTTGTGCCAGCAGTAGACATGCTTCACCCTGAAAATCTCACTTTGTTTTGCTTCAGTCCAGTTTTATTTTACAGAAATAACATCAGCTGTGAAAATACTGCTGGGAGTCATTAAAGAATGATTACATTTCAAAATACTTCAGGATTTCTAGCATATTTCTGTGCAGAGAGAGAGAGAGAGAGGGACAGAGTAGAGAAAGAGACATACAGAAAGAGTAAAGAGAAAAATAGAATAACAGAGTAGAGAGATAAGTGGATAGTCTATTTCATGCTTACCTCTCTCTCTCTCTCACACACACACACACACGCACACAAACACACACATCAACCAAACACACCCACCCACTGGCGCATACATATCTACACAGAACATACTACAGAAGGAATCTACAGTAGCACAGTGATTATTACCCGTAGATTTCATGGTCATAGATTTATATCTTGAATAAGACCGATTTTTAAATTTTACCTGGTCTCCTAGGTGTGAAAGCTGCTGTAGTGTAGCAGCTAGACGCTTGCCTGCGGATCCGATGGTCATGGGTTCGGGTCTTGTTGGAGCTGGACTTTTTTCAAAAATAAACTTGGCTCTTAGGTTGACCCAGCCTTGAGTGGGTACCAGGTAAAGTCCTGGGAAGTAAAGCAGACAGGCATAATGTTGACCACATCACCCACTAGTGCCATCTGGTCTATAAAATATAGATCTAGCCCTATATGCCCAAACACTTGGAGACATGGAAAAGAGTCCTTCACTTTACCTTTACCTAGGTGTACCCATCGTAACATATATGGGCTTGCTTTTAATGATTGAAGGTTTTACATATGGGTTGTGAAGCCCCATAGTTAGGAAGACACCCACCCAAACACTTGGAGGCACAAAAAAGAGTCCTTCACTTTACCTTTACCTAGGCGTACCCATCGTAACATATATGGGTTTGCTTTTAATGAGTGAAGGTTTTACATATGGGTTGTGAAGCCCCATGGATGGGAAGACCCTCACTGGCTCCTAATAAGTATGCCATTAAAAGGTGACTAATTAGTAGTTTATTGAAATCTGATGGGTTGGCCAAAATGTGCAGATATCACAGCCTAGCTGTAAACAGAACACAGTTTGCCAGCTGCCCCTTAAAATGTGAAGAAGAATAAAAAGAGGAAGAGGAGGAAGAGGGCAATATTATTAATGAGTTACAGTTAATTAATATTAACAGTAAGAAATTATTTATTGGAAACCAAATCCATTTTAAAAATCCACCTAGATAGGGATTTAAACCTATGTCAACCAGACCAGCAGTTGTTAGCCACTGTACTTCTGTGGCTCCTTTCTGCAGTATTTGTGTTTGGGTATATGGTGTGGATGTGTCTGTGTGTGTTTTAAATTGAAAATAAGGCACTCATGATTTTCAATCAAAGTTATCTCCAAAGTTAGATTTCTGCTGTGGAAACTTCATTGCACTGATAGAGTTGAGAATTATGTTACCCTTATGCTGTCGAACCAACGGACAACTTTATTTTCAAACGGTTAAGAACTGAGCACACAGGCCCGTCTTACATTGTTTCCTTCTTGCCCCACTCTGGGCATATATTATTCCATTTACACATGAATCCTGTCCTGCCAGCTTGGGTTTGAATCTGCTTTGAGGTAGGCTTCTTATAATTGACATGGGCTTCTTAGTTGACCTAGCTTGTAAAAGTTATGAGGAGATATACTGGGAAGTCAAGGCAGCCAGCATAATGACCACATCATCACTTGTTACCATTTAGTCTATAAAAATATGGGTGTCTGATGCGGTAGAATGCTTAGAATACCTTGGACAGCCAAAAAGAGCAACCAAGAGGTTTTGAAAGAGGCGGGAGCCCGAAGACAACTTATCACCGACATCAGAAAGAGACAGTCATATTTTTTCGGCCATGTTATGAGAAGAGGGAAAATGGAACATGTGACCACTGGAAAGATCTGTGGAAGGAGGGATAGAGGAAGACAACGAGAGAAGATTCTTGACAGTCTTGTTGCATGTCATGGAGGTGTTTCGGCACACGAGCTGATGCATGCTGCAGGAGATCGTGGATTATGGAGAGGCATTATCGCCCACGCCAGTCAGCAAGGCACCTGATGATGATGATGCGGTAGTGGCATGAAAAATGTCCTTCACTTTGCCTGCTTTGTGGGTATAAATAATTCAAAATTATATTGATTTTTTCTGGTGTTGTGTGAAATTGTACATCCTGCTTTTTAGAACTGTTACGTCTTTTGGATATTTTGTCCTGTGCATGCAGACGTGATTGGCTGGTGCTGCACCACAAGTTGATGACTTGATGCATGGCGAGCGAGATGTGTTAAATGCCAGTTGAGAGCAAGTGAACAATGCAGAAGTGCAGATAGATCATTATGGTGAGGAGAAAATTGTGTGACAGGAAGTGACCAGGGGATCTGGCCAACACTCTAAGGCAAGATGGGCATATAATCAAAAATGCTACTTGTACCATTGGAATTTGAACCTTTTTCTGACTGTTGAAGATGAAGATAGAGAAAAATTTCAAGAAAAAGATATAAGGACATAGAATCAGACCTTATTTTCTGTTGTTGTTGTTTTTTTAAATATTTTTACACAGTTAAAGTAATCATGCTGAATGACATTCCATGTACAATGGCGACTGTTCACAGAGTTCATTCCTAATGTGTTTAACAATTAGCAGACTTAGAGTTGTTTCATCACTTGCAAAAACCATGCCATGGAGAAGAAGTCTTGACACTTTACAAAGAAAAAGGACTGTAGCGTGGGCTGAAAGTGGCTTATCCATGAAGTTGCTAGATAGCTTGCAGTGTCCTGCTGTACTATCCAAAGAATTTTGGAGAGATTTCACACACAGGAAGTGTGGAGTATCCACTGACCAGGTCACCCTAGATGTACCAATAGACATGATGACTAATGCCTCTTGTTGTCAGTCATGCGCCATCCAACAGTGACTTCTTCCACTATAAGATGTCAGCTGAGACAAATTAAAAGTTGATATTAGTTGAAGTACCACTCGCAGAAGCTTACATGAATTTGGACTGGCTGCTTGATTTCCTGCAGTCAGAATCGCTCTTACTCCTGCTCATTGCAGAGCCTGCTTTGCTTGGTGTCACAAGCACATCTGATGGACAAGGTAAACATGGAGTCAAGTCCTCTTCAATGATAAATCTCGCTTTACCGTGTCATTCAATGATGACAGGATTCTAGTTTGGAGATGACCAGGAGAGCGATTTTCTGAGGACACAATCCAAAATGTGGATTGTCATGGTAGGGGTGCTGTCATGGTCTGGGGAGGTTTCTACAAACACATTAGAACCCCTTCTACATCATCCAAGGCAGCGTGACTGACTAAAGACACCAGCATGAAATCTTGAGACCAAATGTTCAGCCGGCTTCGGAAGTCATATGTGGTAATGTCATCTTTCCAGATGATAACCCCTGACTTCCGTCGATCTCGTGTGGTGAATGGCTTTAGTCAGCAATATGGCATGGCGAGTTCATTCACCTCACCTTCCTCCGACTGATTACCTCAGGGATGTCCTTGGTCAACGATTGTCAACAAATCATCTCCTGCAGGATGTTGCACAGCGGACTGCATTTCTGCTTCATCAACGGCAAGCTGTTTCCCAGGATACTTGAAGAACCTTTGTGGACTGCAGGCGTCTACACTGTCTTGAATGCCTCGCTGCAAACACTGGAAAGAACCTTTGTGGACTGCAGGCATCTACACTGTCTTGAATGCCTCGCTGCAAACACTGGAAAGAACCTTTGTGGACTGCAGGCGTCTACACTGTCTTGAATGCCTCGCTGCAAACACTGGGAAGAACCTTTGTGGACTGCAGGCGTCTACACTGTCTTGAATGCCTCGCTGCAAACGCTGGAAAGAACCTTTGTGGACTCCAGGCGTCTACACTGTCTTGAATGCCTCGCTGCAAACGCTGGTCATACCTGAATTTGAAATGTCTAGCTCTCCAATATCTATTATGTGACTTTTGAAAGAGGGGTGGCACACTTCACAGCTTTTAAATATGTGTTTCTATTTCTTTTACAACATGTCCCGTAGCCAATAAAGAGGGGTGGCACACTTCACAGCTTTTAAATGTGTGTTTTTATTTCTTTTACAACATGTCCCGTAGCCAATAAAGAGGGGTGGCACACTTCACAGCTTTTAAATATGTGTTTCTATTTTTTTTACAACATGACACGTAGCCAATAAATGCAATTTTCACTGACACTCGTACTATGTTTTTTATATCAGATTTGTTTTATGGTTTCACCTGCGATTTTTCTAAGTGGCTCCTGAGTTTTGATGAGTAGTATATTTTCTAAGTTTTCTCTGCTGTCAGTATTAACTCTCTGAGTCCCAAGAAATGCATCATACGTTCATAGGTACCTACCTAGAGGCTCAATAAACACAAGGATGCACTGATTTTACATCTCTCTTGACTACCCCTTGGA